GGTAACTAATGTAGCCATGAGCCCATATGATGTGACCATGGCTACTATAGATATAACCGCTGCTCACACCAAGATAAAGTTGACTAAGTTCTGGAATCCAATTCAGCCACCTGCTACCGTGCTGAATTTAAATGGCCGCCAAATCTGTATACGAGCTATGTTTTCGGTCCGTGAGTACTTGATGGAAAGCTCTTGTAATCCTCTTTCCAGCGGATCCGGCCTCATCACTAAATTTCATTCCCGTCATCCACAATCATAGAAAAAAAGTGTTGCGTCGCTTATATTGGACCAATGGGCTTGTAACTTCGTTTGAGGTCCATGTGGGGTGCGCCCCAACTAGGTGGAGCACGACCTTAGGGACCCCTAGGTCGTCCTCTCACTTTTATAAATAGCTAGGTACCCCTTCAAGGTTTCTTGGGTTTTGTTGAGATTAAAGTTTAGCTTCGCTACTTTGCCGTGTAATCCCGTGATCGGTTAGATCGTCGGTTTGCCTGTTACGAAACCCCGGCTTATCATTTGTATTCAATTCCTTTTTGCAATTCAAATTGCTTTCATCTTGTTATTGTTTGTTTTTTCGATTTGCTTGCAGGAATAAGGTTGAGTCACACCAACATCAACACATATTCTCAAACCAATTTCATTGAATAAATCATTTGCAAAGCTAATTATTCATCACAAATTATTAATCATGATAATGATTTTACAAGGGTGACAACTTCTTGTAACGTGACGAGCAAAGCCTCCATTTGCTCTATTGCAATTGTTGAGAGGCGAGGTATGAAGCAGTCTTTTAGGCAATTTTGGTCGACTGAATGTGTGTATAGTGCTTCGAAGCGTACCAACAGGGTATTGTTTCGGAGCCAATTGTCCCTGCAGAAAGAACCATGTGTTCCAACCCCTACTTGTACCCTCGACTGTTGTTGGGGGATAGGCAGTAGCTTCATTCTGAAGAGATTGCCAGTGCGGTCCATATCCAATTGGCCCAGGACGATTCAGTCTGCTACAGATGAAAAATCCTCTTGATTAGTAATTCATTTTGCATTTTGAGATTTTTTTTTATTCCCCAAACCCCCTGTCCTTCGGCCGACATACCTGTTCCCAAGCCACCATGCATTGCGAGCCCAAACATGTGTCTTCTCCTGGCCAGAGGAACACTCTTGTCTTTTTATCCACTGCTAATCACACTGGCCGGAAGACTGAAAGCAAACATGTCAAAATTTTTGTTCTCATTTAACACCCGAGCCCACATGTCAGCCTCTTTCCCCATTCGTACAAATGAGATATGGGGCTGGGTGACGGAGGAGGCAGACAAGTGAGCCCGGATGGCAAATGAGAATGAAAATTTGAAAGTGACATTTGAGCATGTGTATTTTGGGAGGATGGTAAATAGTAAATTCTCCCGCAATCATAGGTTGCAGATCATGTTAGAATTAAATGGGCTAGGCCCAAATTAATTCTAGCAACCCCAAAGATCCATAATTAATGTTAAGAGATTAATACCATCTTGGAAACCAACGAGAAAGACCTCAACTTAAATAGATTGCTAATTGAGAACATCTGTTGATTGGTTCAGATGGTGGTTGGACTGCCACACGTGCATGCGCCGAGCTGAGCCAAGGCGAGTCGAGGCAAAAGCATAACCGTTGGGCATCAATGGTGAAGTTACTCCGGTAACGGACGAGACCATAATGCGCCATCAATCCCATAACGTTATCTCACATCTCCGGGGTAGACAGAGGGTACACTTCCTCTATTCCATTTCATTGGTTGTTCTTCTGTTCTTCTCGGTTTTGAGTACCTGCGTGCATGGGTAATCGAAATGAGTAGGGCCTCCGGAACTCCGACTACCTGAGTATTTTCTACGGTTTGCATCTTTTCCATTTGAATCCCAACTCCATAGCTTTTTTTGAGTATTTTCTCCCATCTCTGCGAGGCATACCTGAGAGTGCCACCCTTCTTAGATCTCTTTAGGTATTTCTATGAACCGAGGAGACGGATGCCCTTTCCTTTGCACCTTGCATGTTCAGGTACACTCATGTCAACTTCTTGGCCACACAGAAGACAGATTCTCTATCATTTCCGGTGCTCTTCTTTGCCGAGTTTGACAACGAGAAGACCGAGGGTGAACCACCTGTCTTTTGTTGCAAGGTGGATATGCAACTACCTTGTGCAGGTAATTAAGCTTTCCATCCATACATGTTAATTATGTATGCAGATAATTTGGAAAGCATGTGTGTTAAAAACATTGGTAATGTTGAGTACAATACCACCAAACATCTAATGACTTTCAAATTTACTCCCAACAAAGTAGTATTTACAAGCTAATGGCATGCAAATGTATAAGATAATTATGATTAAAAAGTTATTTATTATCTACATGGAAGTGATAAGAGAGACAAAAGACAGAATAATCACAGAGAAAATGATTAACTGAAAAATGCGGTGCCATATTTTTTTAGCAAACCTGATAATGATAATAGATATTTCTTTTAGGAAAGATAATTAGTTATGCTCCCTCCCTCGAACTGAGATATTTCCTGTGTATTCAATCGTATACACGAGGGTTGTCTTCTCCTCTGCTCTATCTCCTAGACAGGTATGAAAGTTGAATTCGAAAACCTGGAATGAGCGTAGGGATATAGATCCTTCAACCCAAGAGGGTATGTATCCCGTAGCGAGTGGAATGGAAAGGTTTTGGTTTATCAGTTAGGTTTGTACACTTTTCCTGTCCGTTAAGGGAAAGGTAAGTAGTATAAACTAGGATGAACCCCCAAGAAGTTTTGGTTCATGGTGTGGGATGAATATGGTTTCAAGGGCTTAAGCTATATAATTAACTAGATGATGCCCCGCGCTTTCCTGCGGGATATATGTTAGATAATGGAGAAATAATGAAATGATTTGGAAATGATAATTTAGCATGTGCATGTTTAATTTTAAAATGAAATAAATTTTAGATATAATTAGTATATACTTTTGGTTGCGTGCCTATGGGCAGAGGCCGGAGATGTAATCCATTTCCATTATCTAAAAAAAATTACTATATGCTTGCATGTCGAGTTTTGTGTGCTTAATGGGTTGATATGGCATGCATGCATGTAGCTTTTAGTAGTGATAATAAATACTATACTTGTGTGTTGAGCTTTAAGTATTTAGTGAGCATTAAGTTTATAAAAAGAAGAGATTATACCCCTTATTCATACTCATTAGTTTTTCGATTCCTTTCATATACACATTAGATAAGTCAAAGTCACAATTATATTTTCGTTGCTCAACAATTATTTTTAGAAAGTCAATACAACGATTGAATTTTCCGATAATCCGAGTATTTTATTTTGAACAGAACATGTCCGGCGCCTGTATTGTGAACTGCAAGGAGCAAAGGTTGTGCATCCAGCTTTTCAAAAATTTCAAGGTGGAGACAAAGAATTCGAGGAGGCTATGTGTGAAAAACATTCTCATCTTGCAAATGATCAGGTTTTGTGCCGTAACGATTATCATGTCCTGAGCCTAGCTAGGTGGGCATGACGAGGATTTCATGTATGTGGATACTGTAGCCTCTGAATGCCCTCCTTTTGCAGATGATTACTGAGATGGAGTTTACTAATTGCACTTTGCAAATATTAATTGATGCAACATTTCCTTGAGTATATAACAGCCAAGCTAGCATGAACTCCTTGAGTGTATAACGTCAATGTTAATTAGCATGTATTATAGTTCAAAGGTTTTTTCTACTGAAGATATCCTATCTTAGTATAAAGTTATCCCCCACTAACTCCTTAAGCTTAACATGCAAAGATGCTACACCATCATCCACTAACAAGATGCCACATCATCATACACTAATTAACAAGATGCCACATCATCATCCACTAACAATCATCACATTTAAATATCATGCAAACATGCTATATCTTTATAGTTTTTATAATTTAAGAGCTTTTCAAATACAAACATGTTAAATTATCATCCAGCATAATTCATATAATGTTTCAATGCATATATTTATTATGTTTTATGATATTCTATGGTCCAAATTATATTTCTCATTTTTTCCTCTAATTCAGTTGGTTTTAGCCTTTAGATGATTAATCTACGGTCCAAACTATCTCCCTACTTTTCTTCTTCCATAAAGTCATACCACCTTACTTTTTACGTTTGAATCATCATTTTACATACTATTTAAATTTATATTATCATAAACCACATTAATTTACTTAATCTGATGTTATCTAACTATCTTACACTTTTTTTTATTGTTATCGTACTAAATTCCTGCAGCAATACGCGGGGTTTCACATAGTAACACAAACACTTGTGTCTTTTCTGCCTTTTCCTAATTACGAGATCAGCAATTTCACCATTTTGGCTGTGTTTGTGCTCAAGATGCCAAATTTCACCATACAAATCAGGCATTTACCATATTACCATCCATGGTACCTCCAAAGCATGCATCTTTTTTTTTAACAAAAATATAAACAATGTACATGTACATTAGGAAAAAAAAACTTGTGATTGCAGGTTGGCAAATCTATCACATAAGTTAAATGCCCTGGTCTTCAAAATCTCCCCCATACAGATCATGGCATCTGTAATTTCAAAAATTCTGAACATATTGATTACTATTATTGCAGTCCAAAATGAAATCATATGAAGAAATCAGATGATCATAGGCAAGACGAAACGGTGGCTCGTCAGTCGTCAAGCTGTACGATTAAACTAATAGAGTGATGTGTATTTCACTTTCATCCCTTTAGCATATACCTAATGAAGATTCTCTAAAAGCCAGCAGATAGATAGCCTGGTAACCACAGTATCTGCCCATGTTGCTTCTCTTTTATATATATATTGTCCATCATAGGAAGTGATGAATACACCGCATCTGCATAAAAACCACGTCAGGATTCACTATAAACCCATATATGTTGTGCCAATAAAGTGCAAAACAACTGACAAGGCACGCAGTAATCCTGCAAAACTGTGTGTGTCTGATTAGTGGAGACACTAACAATAATACTTGTATCTTCTTCAGAAACCATTCAATCTCAAGCACACCTGGATGGCATATTCTCTCTTCAATTTTTTTTTTCAGTCTTAAAGAACTCTACTTAAGCAGCTGAACAGATTTCAAGAAATACAGACTAGCTTGAGTTATCACAGTGCAGTGTAGTAGTGATCAGCCATGGCTGTTGCACTCGCGCTCTTGGCTGCCATGTCGGCGCTCTCGTCGTGCACAAGTCCGGCCACCGCAGAGCTCACACGGCACGAGCACCCGGTGGCCGCCGGCGCGCCGCTGCGCCTCCTCGTCGTCGGCGACTGGGGCCGGAAGGGCGGCTACAACCAGACAAGAGTTGCAGAACAGGTGATTTTGCTTTCTTTGCATCAAACATTCATTCAACAATTCAATCAGAGAATGTTAATTTGTTGGCACCGATCAAAAGAAGAAAAGAGAACAACTGTATATCGATCAGAGAATTTTGTTTGTTTGTTTGTGAGGAGTTAGATGGGGAAGGTTGCGGAGGAGACGGAGATCGACTTCGTCGTGTCAACCGGCGACAACTTCTTGGAGAACGGCCTCGCCGGCGTCGACGACATGGCGTTCCATGACTCCTTCATGGATGTCTACACGGCTCAGAGCTTGCACAAGCCATGGTACCTTGGTAATCACCATCTAAACCTAATTAATTTCCATTTAATACTATACTATTAGATCATATGGATTTATAAACTTACTATGTGTTTAGAACTTTTTTTTTCTTTGACATGGTGTGTTTCTACAACTTTAGATGGATAAAACAAGTCAGAACAAAATAAATGATATTTACATTCTCCTTAATAAAGGAGAATGGTCGAATGTCCCGTTGAAAAGTCAATATCATTATGTATTTAAAAAGGGATGGAGTACTAACTAAAGGTTATCAATTGTTTTCAGTTCTTGGAAACCATGACTACAGGGGAAATGTGCTAGCACAGATTGACCCAGCTCTGAGGAAGATCGACAGCAGGTTCATCTGCATGAGATCCTTCATTGTCAGTGCAGGTTGGTTAACACATCAAAACCCACAACAAACCTTGTTTCTTTTCTCAACATGCAGCAATTAAAATCTGTGTTCATAGCTAGAATCTTTGCAAATTTACAATGGAAATCTTTTCTGATTAATACTAGAATCCACTGAACAAATTTATAATGTCCTTTTTTCTGTAAGGAATTGTCGATTTCTTCTTTGTCGACACGACCCCGTTTCAGCTCCAGTACTGGACTGATCCTGGAGAAGATCACTATGACTGGAGGGGAGTCGCGCCTCGGGATGCGTACATCGCCAATCTCCTCGAGGTCAGTTCCTCTGATCAATATCCACTGCAAAAACAATCCGCTCGTTGCATCAGCAAAACTCTGTAATGAGATGACTGTCTATATGATTGTATCACCTAGGATGTTGATGCTGCAATGAAGAAATCAACTGCAACATGGAAGATAGCTGTAGGACATCATACCATGAGGAGTGTGAGTGCCCATGGAGACACCCAGGAGCTCCTTGAGCTTCTCCTTCCTGTCCTCAAGGTAACACTGATAAAAAGTAGTACTTTAATCTTCTACCAATTGGTTTCGCATATGAGCATTCGATGAAATTTACGATGATTTCACAGGAAAACGGTGTCGATTTCTACATCAATGGGCATGATCACTGCCTGGAGCACATCAGCAGCAGAAACAGGTGAGCACACTAATACCTTGTGACACAATAGAGGAAAGAAGGGTTCAAGAATCTTATGTTCTTCCTCCTCTCTTTTCAGTCCAATTCAGTACTTCACTAGTGGAGGCGGATCAAAGGCATGGAGAGGCATTTTTCAACAAAACGAAGACAAGCTCCAGTTCTTCTATGATGGACAAGGGTTCCTGTCACTTGAGCTCAGTGAGAACCGAGCTCGATTCGCCTTCTACGACGTTTTCGGTGAAGCTTTGTACCACTGGAGCTTCAGCAAAGCTAATCTGCAGAAGGTTCAGTCCTCTGCTAGTGTAACTGAAGAATGAGAGAAGCTGGAGCCTTCAGAATACATTCCCACACAGCTGAGTAGATGTCTACCTGCATAATTCTACTTGTACAATTATGTCACATTGTGCTCATCAATACTGGATTTGCTATGAATTAGCAAGTGTTTGATTCTACTAGAGAAAGATCACAGAATGAAGCAGGTGTTTTTGCACGAAGCCAAAGACAATCACTATTAAATAGGGTTCACATCTGACTTGAAGGAGCTTCAGGCATCAGTTGACACAGAAATGAATTATGCAGACTAGTGATCTTGTCTTCATACCTAATAAAGCTTTAATGTCACAGCTTACCATGGCATGTGCACACGGTAACTTTAGTGCAAACACTATACCAGTAATACTGAATTCACTTCAATTATTGTCGGACGACATAACTGACAAACACATCTCCCACGGTAGGATGCAAATTTCAGATTCGTTATGCAACAAAGATGACATATATAGCATCATATACAAAATTTTCTTTCGAATTTCTCCTCAAATTGCACTCCATGAGCAAATGGGAGGCTCATAACATACAAAAATTGATGCTTAAGCTCTGACCAAAAAAAAAAAGCATCATAATTGGTCCCGCTGCTCTAATGACGCCGTAGAGAAGATGAAGTTGTGTGGTGAGTGCAGTTTTGCTTTCAGATAGCTACAATGTTCAAAACTATTTGATCTTGAGCATCACGCTGTCGTGCAACATTTCCAAGAGCATAGCACTTACTCAAGAATATAGCCTGTGTTTGGAAACTCCTGTAACCACTTGGACAAAAAGAAATTTCAATATCTTCAGCTATCTACTTTTAAGATAACAGAGATCTTGTAGCCAGCCTACTTTGCGACAACATTCTGCTCCTCTAAACCTCCAGTTGCCTTGGCATGGGCAACAGAGCTACCACCATCTGAACTCCCATTGCACTTTGGCTTAGCTTCAGCCATATCATCTTTCCTTGTTGGTTTGGAAGAAACACTACCATTAGCCTTATGTGCACGAGCACTTACACCAGATGAAGAGGCAGATGATTCTTGTGGAAAAAATGGTTTAGCATCAGCATGTTTTACGCCCAACTTCTGAGCTGGGGGTGGATTGCCTGATCCAGGAGGAAGGAATACCCCTGTACCCTGAAGAGGTAAACGAGGTGAAGCGGGCCTGGGAGCAGCTTCTGCGATCCATGCGGCTGTACTGTTTGGCAATGTGACAGCTGATGCAAATGGAACAGCTTTTGGAGTGATAGGAAGTGGTGCAACGAAAACTGTCTGGATGCCATTGGATGGAATATGGTGAAGTCCAGGGGTTGAAACTGCAGGTACTCTATTGCTAGGGTTGTAGACAAGCTGTTTAGGACTTGAGGGATGAATTGCTATGTTCCCTGGCCTCAATGGTGCAGCCCAAGGCATCGGAGGAGGTGTCAATGGGGGAGTGATAAGCAAGCTGCTTTCCGACTGAACGTGCTTCCTTGACACAGACTTCCCAAAACTTAGTAAGATACGCTGCTTACTTGTAGCAGGGAGTGCCCGTTTTGCTATATCAGCGCTCTTTCCCTCAAAAACTAGAACAGACCTGGAATCAACATAAAACGATCATTAATTTAGAATGGTCAGCTTGCCCATCAGATATGTCCTGTCCCCGAGCCATGGAGGTAATACACATTTACTCATATTGGTGGATGGCAATAAACAAACTAGATATACTTTTCATGATAAATGCGAACTAGAAAACAAGAACAGAGCAAGCAGCACATTTGCATTAATGAAGTTTGACTGGCGTACTTTTGTTTACTACTTTTAGAATTTTTACCCTAATTAGGATATCCACTTCAGTTAAGAATGAGTTGATTTGTTCAGTCTAAAATATGGCCATTGAAGTGGAACAGATGATGCAAAAACATGATAGGTAGACAGGTAAAAGGTGTGACAAGTAATCCATGATGAAATATTCCTTTAATTAAAGAAAGATGGCTGATTTAGCATCCTTACCCTGTAGAGAGTGAGAGTTTCAGTGGACCTGCATGATCGCCTCGGCTATCTGCTGCAATAACATGGCCAAATACCATGTCGCAGTCAGTCAGGCAGAGTGTACAAATGGGTCTACCATACCAAGGAGGATGATGATGAGGGTGAGAATAATCTCCCTGAAAATAGTAACTTAATCAGCATCACTATAAACTTCAGAAAGAATCAACTCCTAGCCCACTTCAATGAGAATTTACCTCATTGAAGATATCGATAACACAGTAATCTGGACTGGAAGGGACAACTTTCTGATGAACCAAGCTATCAAACAGATTTTGAAGCACACCAGGAATAGGATCCACCTTTACCTCTGCATTCCAATCCCAAGACAGATGACAGGTCATAAAATCTTAGAGCTATCATGAATTTACAATAGAGTAAATATTGACAACCTGGCTTGATGTACCTCTTAAATGTTCATCTTCAGGAGGGCCTTCTGTGATGGGAAGACCAAGCTGAATAATTTCTCTTCCATGACCCTTCATTGGCCTTTTGGCAACTACAACTGTTTGCCCTGCTTTTTATCATAGAATTATATAACACAGCACATTTTACAAAGATGCACTGTGAAGGTCAGACAGGACACTATCTGCTGACACTAAAACGAAATGCTGGAGGCAGTCACTATGATGCAGCAAACAACATATTGTCTAACTTTTCAGACCAGCGCAACCCCATACAGAAAACAAAAGGGGGAATGCTTCTTCCATAGGGTCAATAGACCATAAAGGAACTCCTAAGGCTAAGATGAAAATAGACAAAGTTGCGACGATCCCTATGGTTGCATAATAAGTACATACATACATATCCAAAATCATTTTACATAAATAGGGGATCTAGTGTAAATAATTTGATAAAACCCGACAATACAAAAGAAAAATGGTGACCGTGCATCTCCAACTCAATAACCATATAGAGCAAAGGAACCAACAATGCCGTACCTTCCAGTCCTGGTTTACGCCGCATAGTCTTAGCTTCATTCACAAAAGAAAGAACCTTTCCTATCTCAGTTAGATCTACATACCCTTTATACAACTTAAGCCCCTCTAGAACATTCACCTAAAAAGAAGCAAATGTTACATACAAGATAATAAGGTAAACTTGATGTACTGAAATAATTACTTCAAAGTGGAAATTGGGAATCTGTCCAGAGAAGTGACATACCATCCTGCCATCAATTACTTCATTAACCACAAAGCAAGTTGGGACTGGAACCACATTACTGATTACATGAAGTCCTATATGGAGGCCAAACAAGACATGAACATACAAAATGTATTAGATGTGATTCAATCATCCAGGCATTTTGTTGTATTACACACAGAATACCAGTATAGCTTTAAGAAAAATAGAGCACCTTTACAACCTAGTTAACTTTACAAACAGCAATTTTTGAAAACTATAGCTGACATTTCAAAAGCACCAAATGCGCCTCATAGTCACTGAAAGAATGATGGCAGAGCTTGTTGAGGTATAGGCAGTAATGGAAGAGGGACATAGGCTGTTGATGTGACCATTGTGTCTTAAAGATTATATAGAATTTAGAACAAGAAGAAAGCAGTAGTGCCATAAAATTATTGAATGGACACAACACAACTATGCGCCCAGCACTTATTGATCAGCTGATATTGTTGTTGGCATGGCTCACTCAGGTATATTCAAATATGAGAAAGGAAGCCAAGTCAGATCAAAATAGATACATTGAATACAAGGATCTTGTGAGCTCACAGACGGTTTTAACACAAGCCATGAACGCCATATACCTTTCTGAGGTTGGGCTTCTGTAGCATGTGAAATATGAGAAACCAACTGAGAATTCTGAGTTGCTTCAGCCGATGTCTCCACTTCCTTCACACCTCCTGTAGGCAAGAATACATGAGTACGAGATTGATGAGACCCAAGCGCATCAACAGTAAAGTGTAAAGATCGAGCATCCATAAATGCCTAACATAAAGAGCATTAGGTGCAGACTACATTATTAATTTTCATTCCCATAGCACCTAATGTGAGTTGGTTTGGTTCTTCTAAGAATCATCATAGATAAAGAAGCCGTTTCTGCGGCATCAATCGTGCCCTTAAAAAGTGTATCCTCACTAAGATAAAAAAAAAGTTACTACTCCAATTAATTGCAATTGGATAGATTAGACGCATTCCCTTCCCCCAAAAGTAGTTCGTATACAATGTATTCATAATAAAGGAGAGGGGGCATAAATCACAAAAAGGTGAATACCACTGGCAATCGCAGCATCATCTCCCTCGGCACCGGCGCTACCGCTCGGGGGGCGCGGCGGCGGAGGAGGAGGCGGCGGCCCCTGGCGCGCGGCGGCGTGGTGAAGCGCGAGGGCGACCTCGGTGACGGGGAAGTAATGCTGGAGGTGGAGGACGGGGGCCCAGTGGTGCCGCCTGCGCTGGACGGCGGCGGCAACGGCGTCGAACCCGGCGGGATCGGCGGCGTCGCGGGCGTGGGCGAGGAGGAGGTCGATGATGGCGTTGGCCGCCGCGAACTCGCCGCGCAGCCACGCGACGAGGCCGTCCCGGCCGTCCACCACCACCGCCTGCTGCTGCTGCTGCGGCTGCGGCTGCGGCGGCGGCGGCACCACCCACCCCGGCCCCGGCGCGGCCATCGTCGGCGGGCTCAGAGCATGGCGGGGCAATCTGCTGCTAGGGTTTCGCCAATTCTGATGGAATGCCGGATGCGATGGATCTCACCTTGCTTCTCGTCACTAGTCAGGGGGAGGGGAGAAGAAGTGATGAGAGGTGGTTGGGTTCCTGGTGAGCCACTGACTTGTGGGCCCATGGTGTATGACGTGTCATCCCCGTGTTGGGGTGTTGGAGAGAGAATAGATTAACTTCGATCGACCGAACATCGATTTCGTGGAAGGGGTATAGTTTCTTATTGACGTGGCGTCCCTATATGATCGTTTCTGATTTTTTTAGGATTATTGAAAACTGTATAGTCATGTTGGATTACTGAAAACTGTATACTCATGTTAGTGACTATCAAAATGGTCACAAAGATGGAGATCATTACCATCTATGCAAGCATTAAATGTTTAAATGCTCTAATTGAAGACAGCCTATAGCCATCACGTCGTATGAGTTATCTACAACATTAGCTCCTGATGACATGGAAATATATTATAGATAGAAGCTATCTATACTATTAAACATGTCTTATATGTTTTCCATGTGTTTTAGTGATTGCTCCATATCTAGGAAGGGGACTTTCTTCAGATTTCCCCTATTTACAGTGGTCATTTTATCTTTTCTACAAACTAGTGCAAAGAAGGCTTATATGAAAATTTATTCATTTCAAGGGCACCACAGCTGATGAGAGACACGGACAAAATACATATCATGTGGTCTTTGTGGAGCATCATCAAATTCGTGCCATCTGCTGTTCGTTGTACCTCAGCAAGAGAGGGGAAACCTTCGAAGTTGAGTTTACCTGATGAGATCAAACTAGCAACCAATTTGACTTTTTTTAATTAATTAGTAAGATAAGACTAAGAGTCGCTCTATTAATAGTCACCATACGTAAGTGTGATAATTCAGTCATCGTGGATCTTGCCATGTGAAATTTGGTAGCCTTAGATGGTTGGGAGGTGGGTCCTCCAGCCAGTCTTTTTTTTTTTAAAAAAAAAAAGTCGCCTCATCTATCTGCTCGTGTGTGAGAGCCCATGCCTGTTACAAAGCGTGGGCCAGTACACGTCCGCAGAAATCCCATTCTGGCCCATGAAAACTCTCATAGTCACGTGGACCAGCCACAATCCCATCTTGCCCATTAAATATGAGGTCGCAGGACTAGTCAAAATTGAACCGACTCATATATGAAAATACTATAGATTAATAATTTCTGTGTACAAAAGAAAGCCCTCATTTGTCAATCGTCGTCGCTCTTCGGTATATGATATCCATTTACCGTAACAACAACCTAATGTAGTTAGATTTACCTAAACTTATCAAGACATATAGTAACCAGTTGAAACAAGTGAATTATCGCTCTTACTGCTCATCCCTCAACTTTAGTTTTTATTCATTGGGTTAAACTGGTCAGTACATGTTAAGTCACATGGTATCTAAGCGACATAGTATGTATTAGATGCCTCGATTATCCGTTCTGATATCATGCTGAATTAAAAATGTATCAAGCCAATTCAACCTAAAAGTTTAAACCAATGAGAAAAAGGACACCCAATTTAATTGTACTCAAGCAACCGTCGATACATAAAATGATATCCATATACCGTAACAATTATCCAATGTAGTTAGATCTTTTTTCTTTTTTGATGATAATGTAGTTAGATTTTACCCAAACAAACTTTTCAAAGTTCCCTGGGTGCGCCACTGCTGCTGCTCTGCTGGTCCCTTCAATTCCCTTGGATCTCTCATATCATATTTGTACTGTACATGCATGCTGCCCCTGCATCCTGCATACCGGGGCACGGGCACAGGTGAGACCACACATCCACAGCAGATGCAGAGCAGAGCAGGTAACTATGTATGTAACCCGTTTTCTAGTTCATTTCTCACATGATACACGTGATAGTATATGAAGAAAAAATAAACTAGAAATAGGATAAACGAGCTTAAAAAAATTCGCTTGCCAGTCCCACTTGCATCTCTACCGGTAACGGCTATGCTACCTATTCTATTCGACATTTCGATTGGAGGGATGCTCGGGCCCAGCGACAGTGACTAAAGCAACAGTGCTACCACTAACAGGTGGGGACACAAAACCAGTGCACCACGCCTAGTGCCTGTCTCTGTCTGTGGCCCTCCGATGCTCACGAGATGCACAGAAATTTTTCAGAAACACAGGCAAAAAAAAAAAAAAACCGTCCCCACACTGTCACAAAGTCGCCTAACCGCGTGGTTACCGCGGTTATCGGGCTTATCGCGGGGTACGGTAATGTAAATACCGCGGTAACCTACTTAAATTCAAATAAATTTAAAAATAATTTGAAATTTTGATGAATTTTGCACAGTTTTGTACGGTTTTTCACGGTTACCGCACGATAACCGTGCTTACCGCCAGGGCACAGTAAACCCGGTCCCAGCGGTTTGGGAAACCCTGCCTCCAATCGCCTACTCCCTTCGTACCCCAAAATACAGTAACATTAGGCGTATCCTATCAATGTGTCTAATCTGATTCTAGGTGTTATTGTATTTTAGAATTGAGACAGCACTGCATAGTACTCCCTCCGTCCCATGATATAAGGGATTTTAAGTTTTTGCTTGTACTGTTTAACCACTCGTCTTATTCAAAAAAAATTGTGCAAATATAAAAAACGAAAAATTGTGTTTAAAGTATTTTGGATAATAAAGTAAGTCACAAAAAAATAAATAATAATTTCAAAATTTTTTGAATAAGACGAGTGGTCAAACAATGTAAGCAAAAACTTAAAATCCCTTATATTATGGGATGGAGGGAGTATAACTTTTACGATGTGTGATTTTGTTTGAAAAAATAATAGATATGTACATTATGTGTCATATATCTACTTCCACTTCGTTCCAGAATGTAATGTAATGTGTTTTTAGTTTGATTCTATATTGAACTTTTCTGCCATCGACCAAATGTACTTAGTAAAGTACACCAACATTTTACAGCATCAAATTAGTTTAGTTTCATTACAGTTCACTATGAGATATGTCTTGATATATAGTACTTATTTGCCACGGTATATGTTAATTATTTCCTATAAATCTGGTTAAAGTTAGATAGCATTTGAGTTAGGATAAAACTTTAACACCTTAATTTGGATGGATGAAGTACCGTTTAATTGTCAGTGATAATGTGGTGCAAATTCAGGCATATCTTGGATTCAGAATTTCAAATCCTTTCCCACAAGTTTAGATCGCCTGCTACTTCAGATGATTATCAGATCCCTAAAAAGGGAGAGTTTCCCATTACAACTGCAACATCAACATGCTCTATTGCAGTAGAAACTTAACATCAACATTTGCTTAATCAAATAAAAAGTTACTCATATTGGTAGAGAATGAACTTTAGTAAAAAAATCATGATATTAGCTCTAACTGCAGCATAGCCTAGCTGCACGCGTTTAGTGGATGCTAGAAATGAATAATCCAATCAGTGTTCCAAGGACACAGTTACTGCTACTACATATATATGCATTTCATATCATGGGCACCATGCATTATTGTCATACAAACGTTCTACAAAATCAGCAGACTACAATCAACAAGCCTAAATGAAATGCTAATCTTAATCAATATAATTAATAACCTAACTCTATTCAATTCTACCATCACCAAAATGCAAATCAATCTAAGTTGCCTACCAATTCATGCACAACACTACCCACATAAATTCAGCAAAATCATCACATAAGCCACACAAAATTAAGGGAGGTGAGCACACACTGAGCCAATTGTGATGATCAGAATGCTAGCTGCCACATCAACACAATGTAGCTAAGATCAGAATGCTGAATCAGCTGGACCACGACGGTGGCGCCTAGCTCGTCCATGGCGGTCGATGGACCTCGCCTCGCCCGTGGGGAGGAATAGCTCGGCCTCAGGGCCGACATTGCACTCTGATGGAGGTGTAGGATACCGAAGACGATCATAGCAGTAGCCGTAAGTCATGTACTTCGTCCTGAACCTCTCCATCGCCGATCGCTGCCTACCAGACATGGCCACGGCATTGTGGATGTTGGCAATGTCCGGTGTGCACATCGGTGCACGGGTCAAGGTGTCCATAGCGCAGCCATGGAGCATGAGTTCCGAAAACTCTGCGACGAAAGGGGCGTACTTGTAGTTCACCTTGTACCGGCCACCGGAGGTAGCCCAGCTGGAGCCATCCCAGATTGTGGCGTACAGCGACATCGGTTTGGAAGGGAACTGAACTCCCATGGATTTGGTCCTCTGAACCTCCCGGATTGGAGTCTCATCAATGTAGAATCTGCAGAGAGACATACAGTGAGATAATCATATGATAAGAACCAGCAAGAATGAGAATGGGGAGGGAAACTAACAGTGCTGAGAGGAAAGGAAAAATAGGAATAGATTGGAACATTCTAAATATGCCTGAAAATCTCAGTATTTTTTTTTGTGAAACAATGATTCATCCACAGTAGCATACATGCGTATATCGTAAGTTAGAACAGTAGAGTACAAAACATAACATCCAATATAATTGTTGGTCCATGTATGTTTCTTGGCATTGAATGGTTTGTTATTAGTCAAATACATAGTCACCTACTTTGTTGTCTTCAAAAGATCTGTACTGCATACGGTTATGCCATTATGACCATGGGAAATTTCAAACAAGTACTTCAAGAGACAGCTTTCCTGACCTGTACTGTTGATATCATAAGTACTACTAACCAACAATGTCCTGAAGTTAGGTGCTCAACTATACAAACTTCCCTAGCATGACCACAAGTAATTGTGCCAAGTTGTACATTTTGATTTTGAAACCCCAGCATATTAAATTTCTGGGTGCAAATTCCCCTAAGCTGTGCTGCATTTTGAGTCTGTGGTTTCAAGAAAGGGAAGGGATGGAAGATGTCATTTTGGATGCATGAACATGAACATGTGAAAGCACATGATGAAAGTGGTTGTGTGGTGGTAGAATGGTAGTGGTGACAACTTTTTCAGTTTCTCTTCTCTAGTACATGACTCCAAAAGTTTTGCCTGTGACTGATCATAATAGCTTTCTATCATTGTCGACAAAGCAGGTTTGCAATGAATGGTAGAACAAGAATCTTGGCGGAAGGATCAGGTGGAGGATGATAGATCATGCAAAAGACAAAGGATGGAATGCTTAATTAAATGCGGAAAGTAATTTTATGCAGAATGAAATGTGGTGCTGACAGAGATGCATTTGGATGTTTTAGATGGTTGAATCATACTATATTCAAACAAAAGAAGCATTGAACCCCTTTTACTTTGAAATGCATAATTACTCGACGATCTTTTGTGGGAATACCATTTAACTCAACTTGGGTCATGAGTAGAGTACATTATTAAAGTGGCAATAATCCAAGGGAACATACAAGCTGTAAAGAATGGGAAAATCACTCCTCTCAATCATGGAGGAGGATAAAGTAGAGGGGACAAGGAAAAAGGTACTTGAAGGTAATAATGGTAATTATTGATTGTTTCAGTACATTACATGAGTAAAAGGACAACCAGATCAAACACAACAGATATAATAGTGCCATCTTCATGAGTACAGATACCATCTAAACATCAGTATGCTTATAGCTACAAACTCATATTAATTCTATGATTATGGTAATGGATTACACATTACAAGCAAAAGTGTTTATTTGAAAATTTTCGTTGCAAAAGCAACAACTGTATCATGAAAAATTTCACTACAAGAGCATGTTATTTCTGTGTGCCCGCGCTATTTGCTACCAAGGTTTACCTTTTTGATTTCGAAGTAAAAACCGCTCCTCACTGGTTTACCGAAATCCAACCGAAAACCAATAAAAACCGATGATTTTCAGTCAACACTGTATTAAAATAGGCTAATACTGACCGGTTTCCACAAATCGAGACCTAGCAGTTTCACGAAAACCGACCGGTTTTCGCAAAATTCCATCGGTTTTGTGAACCCTGTTTGCTACATCTTTAACAAATTACCCTTCTTGAAATAGTTCTCAGTTTTATTACTCAATACATGTTGTTACTCAATACTATTTATTCAAAGCATATCGCATATATCTTTGATTTATAACAGTTAATTTTTACCTTCTTTCTGTTGTTCAGATTCTTAAAGATTTACACCTCGTCACAAAGTCACAAAACGAAGATAGTAATGTGTTTCAGTGCAAGCGATTAATACTACTCAGATTCATGATGGAAAAATCACATTATCTTTAACAAAACAAGTCATAAATAAAGGATAGATGAAAGGAGAATATACTAAAAAGCTTGATCATAGTATTAACCAATCATGCATGAATGTGATTAAAAGTAGGGGGGGGGGGAGTTTCCTTACACGATCCAGTCATGGCTCCAAAGAATGGCGTAACGATGGAAATCCTCCGTCGGATCAAACCACAGGCCATACCTCTCCTCCCTGCCGACCGATGTACTGCCATTGCCATACACGTTGGTCTGCACTCTCCACTCCCTCCCCTTAATGTTCCCTAGGAACTCAAAGTCCAGCTCATCATGCGTCTTCTCATACACATCGCCATTCGACATCTAAGTAAAACCACAGTAAAATTAACATTGTGACTGATGATGACATTTTCAGATACAATGTTGCAGAATGTGTTTGTAGAACTGAAACACATAATGTATTATGCACATCTTAATCAAACAGTATGCAAAGCCATTTTGTGAGATGTTCAGAAGTATGCAGGTATAATGCACAATTGAGTTGTGCATTTGATGAAATATGCAAATAATAATTACCAACGGTAACATATTTTTTTTACCAAACAGATTAATGGAGTACAAATTTGGTTCTGGAAATCAGAAATCAGAAAGAAATGCACTGTCTCTGATAGGGGTATATATCAGCAACATTGCAAGAGGAAAGAAAGAGGAGATATGTTACATAGAAGGCGACGACGACACCGGCGGCGTAATCGGGCGGCAGCTTGATGCTGGCGCTGAAGAAGCCATGCAGATACGCATCCTGCGACGCGAATCCGGCGCCTGAGACAACAAAGCACACAGATTAGATTATCCATCCAATCCAAGAACTCAATCCACAAAGAGAATCCGAACCACCAAGAGGCAGAGAGAGGAGGAGCAACCTGTGCGCTCATCGAGGGAGATGCGGACCCGCTTGCCGTCGCCATGGAGCGCGAGGTTGGAGTCGCCGAACAGCTGCGTGTACCCCTCCCGGAACGACGCCGCCGCCGGCCTCCGCAGCCTGGCCGCCATGGCCAGCACGGCCTCCTCCTCCTCCTCCCCAGCGGACGCCAGTAAGGGAGATAGCAGCAGCAGCAGGAGAAGCAAGAAGCACCGAGAGGCGGCCATGGCTTTGCTTGCTTCTTGATGTGCTCTGCTTCTTGCTTTCCAATGCTCTGGTTTGCCCTGTGCTTGCTTGCCTTCCTTCTTGGTGTGTGTGTGTGTGTGGGTTTAATAGAGAGAGAAAGGAGATTATCTTTTCTGCATTTGGTGGTGTGAATGCAGGTGCAGCAGCAAGCTCACTCCATTGCCATTGGTGACCTCTTTTATGGGCACCTGCAAGTCTTGCTGCACCCTCTCTCTCTCCTCTTCTCTCTTCTTTCTCTCTCTATAAGACAGGTTGCATTTGCATTGCATGAGAGAGAGAGAGAGAGAGAGAGATTTTGCAGTGGATTGTGTGCAGTGGTGGCAGAGTATGTCTAATAAAGAAATGAGATACTACACTATTATTATTTGGTATAGTATCAAATGGATTATTATACATTTATTATTTATTTAAAACATCATTGGAGTATCTCACACATTAGACATTACCTGTCCTTTTGTCTCTAGCAATGCATCCATGGGCTCTCATGTGAGAAACTGAGAACTCACAAGGGGGAAAGTTTTTACTACTAGTTACTGTGCTGATTGACCAATCACTGTAGAAGAATCTTTTTTTGTTATATGGCCTAATCTTTTGTGATTTTCTTGGGAACTTCTTTGGTTGTATTATTATATTTAGTGCTATCTATCCTGATGAGTTTCATCTGTGGGTGGGATATATAATCAGTTGGGATGCAATGCATGCCTGGCATTTTGATAAGCAATTAATGTACAGGGATTCTGTCATGAAAGTCTACCAATTTTGGCAAGGAGAGGACCCTTTGCAACACGGTACACCAATAATACCTCAAAGTTGCTTGAGTTAAATCTAGTGGGGAAAATCCTCAATGTAGTATTTGGATTTAGAAAAAAAAAGGGTCCATTTTACTCCCCTCGAACTATTTTATCAGCGCACTTAATCTCCTAAACTATTTGTTGACACATTTTAGTCCCCAAAATATTTTAAATGTTTCACTTCACTCCACGAAGTATTTCTCTTTTTTTTCTCTACATAAGTCATATTTTACCCTGAAATTTGGTAAGAGTACTTCTCAATATTTTTTAGAATACTTTTTATCATTGTTACATAGGATGGCATCTCTTATTGATTTAAACTTCAAGATTAAAGAGTTCAAGCAAACAATCACGAAAATATTTGAAAACCTGTACTCCTTTAGAAGGCACTAGTTATGGTGGCAGTGAATTTGCCACTGCCACCCACCATTCTTTTGTAACTTTTATAAATTAGTCCATAATATTTTATGATATTCTGGAATAGTCTAGTATTTGTTTCAAATAAGTGAATACCATATATTTAAATAACCAAACAAGTGATACTAACATATTTGATAAAAACGTATTTTATCTATAACATATTATAATATATTTTCTTTTACCCATAGCAAAACATGGTCATTTTGCTAGTATTTTAGAACTTTGACTATGTGTCATCTATGGCTCTAAAAATCATCTTGAATTACAACTTATATAAATATAAAGAAAAAGGAGAAATATTGTTAGGTAGTACTCCCTCCATTCCAAATTTATCTACATATTTCATAGGTACACCAAGACCAAGAAAAGCTAATAACTCTCTCATACTATATTTACTCTAGCAACAAACTCAATGCATGCACCATCCCCAATATTTTCTAGCCAATAGCAAATCAAGATATTGCATGTGGGTTATAAATACTTGTGTGCATAGATGCATGCATCAATGTCCATTTACTCCAATGCACAAATAACGAATAGACTCAATAAATGAATACAAATATGTAGATCATTTAGGAATAACCTCAGAAAAACTATATGTAGATCAATTTGGAATGGAGGGAGTAAAGTGGATTATTTTTAATAGTTTAGGTGTGAAATGACCTAAAACAATAGGGGGAACTGATCCAATGAAATAGTTCGAATGAGTAAAATGATTTTTTTCATTGGATTTATCATAGTAATTATTCGTAGTGTGTTCATGGAATAAACGGATTTAAATAGGAAATTTCGGTCCCATGGTAGTACATTTTTAGATAATGCAATAATATTTTACACTTTTTCCCCAAAATTGGATCTAGCATACTTATATAATTGCACATCACTAAGTGTAGTTATTAGGAATTCAATCTCTTCTATCATGAAGTTACATTACCTCTATGACTTTTTAAAATGTTTTGATCTATGCTGCATGTTAGATAATACTAAGAGAGAATCTATTCTATACCACTGATAAGAGAGAATCTATTCTATACCACTGAGTTTGATCGAGTTCAACGATTTGCCATCGACATTGTCTCCTTCTATAATATACCGACGACTTTATCAATTGTTCTACAATATGCCATTGGGCTGGGCATTCTTTTCAAAAATACCCAAAATACCCTTAGAGGACATACAAGATTAACAATTGATTTATCTCATTAGAAGTTTCAAAAAAATATAAAATTTTTTATGTGGCCTCGTTACACAACATGGAAGTTTATATACATGTTTCAAGTTTTTTTGGTATATTTAGATTTTAGAAAATAATATTTTTATGTGGTATATGAGAGAAAATTTGTTTATACGAGAGATAATAGCACAAAAATATCTTATGTAGTGTATGAAAGATGATTTATATTAAAAACATCAATAAAATGTATTTTATATAGCATATAACAAATGAGTTATATATTTTTTTACAAAAAATATAAATGTAAAAAACTTGAAACTTCTATACAAACTTCTATGTTGTGTAAGTAGGCCATATATTTTTTTTTATTTTTTTTGAAACTTCTAATAGGATAAATTAATTGGTAACCTTGTATGTACATAAGGGTATTTCGGGTATTTTTGAAAATAGTGTCCAGCCCAATGGCGTATTGTAGAACAATTGATAAAGTCACTGGTATATTATAGAAGGAGACAATGTCGATGGCAAATCGTTAAACTCGAACAAACTCAGTGGTATAGAATAGATTCTCTCTAATACTAACCATCTTTGAGTAAACCCACATTTATTTCCAATCATTTATAGGCTTTGCATAGTTATTCTAAGGTGCAGATTGTCTAATTAAAGCAAAAAAAAAAATCTTCTTGCACTCTAATGTTTAGCATTTCATCATGCAATTTTTCCGTAGTAAAATGCAGGAGTCCCATCTATATTTATCTCCGCTCTTGGCACCCCTTCAGGGCCCCTTTGAATCGCAGGATTCAGAAAATAGAGGAATAGGAAAAACTTAGGAATTGAATGCCATACTTATTGGATTCCTATGGAATTTTGAAACACAGGAAAGTCTTCAAACTGTCGTTTGATTAGCACATAGAAAAAACGCAGGAACCTTAGACACATGAAGAGGAAAACATGAGGTGAGACCTCATGCTTATTTTCCTCTAAAATTGCTCTAGTAAGGTTCATTCCATAGGAATTTCAAAGGAATTGATAGGAAATAATCCTTTGATTCAAAGGGCTCTATAGGATTATTTCCCATAGAATAAAATCCTCTAAAATTCCTATGGTTTTTCCTTTGAATAAAGGGGACCTCACAGTGGGAATTTACCTCACTGTAAATACAACTTCACATGATTTACCTACCTGGTGGCTAATAAATTATGCATGACACCCAACGTGTAGCCTTGAATGTGGGTATTTATTGCCAAGAGACCCTTGTTCTTGGTCATTCCAACTTTCCAAGGATCAGAGCATAGCATTGGATAGGATTGCGCTCCAGTAATGATCCAACTACCTTCCTTCAAACATGAGACGATCATGGGGACGGCGGTTTAGTTGCTGAAATATCAGATGGATACTCATCAATTCCTCATCATCTCATGTGCTCTGGTACAAATTAATCGAAGTGACAATACCATATAGTACTATGCCATATAGTAGGGGTATATGTCTGCATTCATGTGGCAGTACTGCAGGTTTTGGAACGTAATAGTTATTCAAGGGTGAATGCCAACATATGTCTGACCTGATCACCACCAAGAATCCAAGATTCATGAAGAAAGGATTCATACACAGCATGCATGTTGGATCGTATGAATCCCTAAGTTCTAAAATAGTTATATTGCAAATTCTTTGCCAGAATAGTTGTCACTGTAAAGTACTAATCGTCCCCTCAATCACATCTTATTCAAATTTCTTTCTATTGTATCCTCAACCACCCTTCCGCTTCTAATCAATAAGGGTTACTTTAGTCTTTTCTTATGAAACCTTAATTTATCCTAAACAACCTAGAATGACAAGTGTTGTATTATATACTTTCGGGTCTGTTTGATAGAGCTCAAACTCCTAGATTTAGCTCTAGGAGTTGGATCTGTAGTGGATCGGAGTTGTGGAACAGCCTAAAAAAACCCAGCTCCACCTCTAGTTTATTCTGTGAGAGCGCTCCACCCATCCCCGTTCCCATTTTAGATGGAGCTGGAATTGTTTAGCTGGACTCTAGCTCTAGAGCTGTGCCAAACAGGCCATTCATTTGTCCTCAAAAGACACTTCAACTTTGACTATGAATCTAGACGAACATTTTCTTTCCGATATTCATATAGTGAAAAATGAGGTCCACAGTGAGAAATGAGGTCTTTTGGGGATGATGTAGTACATGCAGAGGATTGAGATCAAATGCAGTTGCTATTGTAACTGCACAATAGCAACTGCACACAATCGTGGCCATTCGTTTTCAGATCCAGCGGCTCTAGATGACTGCTACAGTAAAGGCATAATATAGTGCATCCCTGCTACAGTATTTTTGCTACAGTACCACTTCATATCCTGACCTTCCATTCTAGATCATTTGATACACATATAACTGCTTAAGTTACACTTATAATAACAACTGCACAGGATCTTGATCCACATGCAGAGGTCTTTCACAGAGGTTTTATAGTTTTCGTGTTGATTAATTTGTAGCTTCAGGGAAAAAAGATTTCAGGGATCTAATTAATTTTCATAATTTTTCAATCAGCTAAAATTGTACATTTTGTACAACGAATTCTGTTTTTCTTATTCATTCTGATCAGCCATTTTTTTTCTTTTGTGCAAGTTACCTCTCTTGCATGACACAAGCAAGGCCTGTACTGTACTCACATGCATGATGATGACAAACTAGGGTTCAAACTTTGGCAACTCAATGTCTTAGGTTAATTATAAATTAAGAACACATGGCATATATTATGTATCTAAGTGTATCAAATGGTGCTACCTTGTGCCCTATTCTAAACAACTTAATTATGTAGATAATATAGATTATTACTACCACTTTCAAAAGTATGATTTCTCAAAAACCTTTTTACATAAGTATTG